TCATGGAAATTAATGCATATGGCCTTGCCAACTTTTTAATAAGTACCCTTAAAATATTTTGATCCATTTTGTTCATATTAGGAAAAGTGAAAATGGTCTCAATAAATAGTCCACTTTGTAATTTGCCTAAAACCAATTTACTAGAACAGGTCCAGTGAAATCTGATTTGCTTAATGTTTGGCCCTAAAATAAATGATTTAGTAACTTCTGATGATAAATAGACCCAGAGTTGTATTTTTTTTTTTACCCATAGCTTAATACTTAATTTGTTAATTTAATTGATTATGGCTATACTGTTCTTCAGTGAGTATATTCCCTTGCTTGATTTGTGTTCTTAGTTTTTTACAAGTCATATGCAGTTTTCATTTCCTTTGGGGCACTAGAGACTAATGACCTTAGATGGCCCTGATTACTGTGTGAACATGTTGGCCCTTAGGGTTTATACTCACTTGGATGTAGGCCTGGGTATCATTTTATTGTGTGGTTTTGGGTAAAAACTTTTTCTACAATACCCTCTATCTTGGACTGGCATTCGGAGGCCTCAGCCTCAGGTGTGCTAGTCAAATTTGAGTAGTCAGATGCATTTGAATAAGTTTGTACATTGGTTCTTAGAGTACGGAATTTTAGATTTTTTTGTCTGTTAACTAGTAAAGATAGCAGATCTGGAAGTGAATCCAACTTAATTTTCTTCATTTGGAAAAGAACTGGTAACCTCCAAGCTCTAATCTTTCTGTACTCTTTTTCAACTGCAGATGTCTATAGAGCCGCCAAATGTGGCTTCTTTCTGGTAGAAGAACGTCATACTCTTGAATACATACTTATTCTGAGACTTAGTAGCACAGATGAGAATCTTTGCCTCTTATATCTGGGATTGTTGTTTTGGCAAATTTAGTTATGATATTTGTGTCAGGATGCATTTGATCTGAAAGATTGCTAAATGCAAATTCAGGTCTGTGGCTGTGCCTGGAGGTTTTCAATTAAGTTTGTGAATGCAGGGAAAAAAGAATTTCTGGGGTCAAGTTCCATAATATTTTAATAGATATTTTTAGGAGTTTTTTTTTTTAATGAGTTAATTTCTCTGAGAACACTTTCCTAGGTAATACATCTACTAATAGTGGGAGTATTGTTTCACGTCTAGTCTCTCTGCTTTCATGAGTGCCTCCACTTAAATTGTATTGTGAGTCAGTGCATATTCAGCCGCCTTAGGAAACTCAGGACGGTTGAAACATTTTTTTATAACTTTATTTTTATTATTTATTTTTATGTGATGCTGAGGATAGAACCCAGGGCCTTGCATGTGCTAGGCGAGCGCTCTACCGCTGAGCCACAACCCCAGCCCTTAAAACACATTTTTAAGAAGACAATTTAGGGGGATGGGGTTGGAGTTCAGTGGTAGAGTGCTTGCCTAGTATGCACGAGGCAATGGGTTCTATCCTCAGCACCACATAAATATAAAATAAAGATATTATGTCAACGTAAAACTAAAAAATAAATATTAAAAAAAAAAACAATTTAAAGGATCTGAAGACGTTATAGCTAGTTATAGCAGCATCTTCCAGTCAGTCACTTTTGACAGTGTACAGTAATTAAACTTTCAGAACCCAAGGTGTAAATAAATTTTTCTGTATACTGAGCACAAATGTTAATGTAGACTATTATTACTCAGCAGTATATGAAAATTTAAAAGTGATGCCTAATCTAAAATATCAATGTATTTTAACTTTTTTGTCATAATAAAATTTAAAATGTTGATTTTAATGGATAGGATTTGAAATAAATAAAATGTAGTAGACTTCCTGTTGAAAACTTTACAAAATTATGATAAAATTGTGTGTTCAGGGTAATTTAAAAAAAAAAAAGGTAAATTCAGTTTTTATTGTTAAAACTTGTCCTGGCAAACAAAAACATGGTTCTTCTTAGTATTTTTTCAGGATGACCCTATACCTTAAATTTTGGGAAAGAATATTTTGATAAAGGTTCTTCAGTACAGTCTTTTTATTTTTGGTACCAGAGATTGAACCCAGTGACACTTATCCACTGCTGAGCTGCATCCCCAGCCCTTTTTCTTGTATTTTTTTGTGAGATGGTCTCGCTAAGTTGCTTAGGCCACACTACGTTGCTGAGGCTGGCTTTGAATTCATGATCCTCCTGCTTCAGCCTCGTCAGCTGCTGGCATTGTAGGTGGTACTTGGTTCTAGGTGCATTCTTAGGCTCAAGTTTCTTCTGTGAGCTGTTTTTGGAGAGCTCATAAATGGAAATACACTTGCTTTTATGTCTGGAAGGGAAAGTATTTCTAATGCCCAGTTTTGCTTTCCCTAGGTAGGTGTCTCTCTCATTCTCCACAGAATCATGTGAAGCTTTCCACTTAACACAGACGGAGCAGCCTTCCTCAGCTCTCAGCAGAGGGCCTGGCTTCCTTTTTCATGGTACAGTTAGTAAATGACAACCCCTCTTGGCTTCCAGTGTGTCCTCTTTCTTCTCCCAAGAGACAGTTGCCCCCTTCTTTCCCAGGGACATTGAACAATTTGGAGACATTCTTGGTTGTCACAGTGAGGTTGAGTGCATCTGGCATCCAGGATCCTGCAGTGCACCCCAGGACAGAGCCATCTGTCTCCTTGACAACAGTGCTGAGGCTGAGACCCTTGCTGCTTGCTGGTTTCTGTCTTACTGTCCTGTGTCACTCAGAACACCACCTCATCACATATTTTCTCTCTCCTGTATGTTTTTCCTTTCCCTCTTTACTGACACCAACTTTTCCTATTAATGTGCTCAAGTTTCTCACACAAAGAAGTAGAATTTTTCTTTTGACCTTTGTTATTTGCTAGCTATTAGTCTTCTTGATTCCTTATGGCAAGAGGAATAGTGTTTCTAAAGAGGAAGGGTGTTTCTAAAGAAATTCTAAGGAATTGAAGGCAAATCATTTCAGTTTCTTTTTTTCCACTGACACTGCTCTGTCTGGGTGCTGGTGGTCTCTTAACCAAATCCAGCAGCCCTTTCCTCTGCTTATCTTCCTCGTTCCCTCAACACTGTTTAATGACAGTGACAACTTTATCTCACGAGACTTTTCCCTCAGCTTTTGCAGACTTCTCTCCAGTGTCCATCTTCACCTTCTTCATTGAATCCCACAACTCCTCACCTGGTTCTCTCGGTTCACAAACATTGGCCCACTAGTGGCCACACCAGTGATGCCCAGATCTACCTAGATAGTTCATAAGTATCTTACACTTAATCCCCATGTGTTCTCTCCCAAATTCCTGCCCAAAGTGTCCTTTGCCCTGGTCTCACTGCTTGACACCCACATTCTTTTCATCTCCCGAGCTAGAAACTGGGAAACTACTCTCTTGTACATCCATAATATCCCTTGGCAACAAATAATTACGTTTAAAGGGAATATTATTTTTCCTCTTTAAACGTAACTATAAGTCTCATTGCCGTGTCCTGGCCTTCACTTGGTCCTTCAGTATCTCTTTACTTGGCTTCTTCAGGCTCAACACTGATGAAGGCATCTTCTGCAGTGCTCACCAGTGCCTTTTTTCCAGAATGCTCTTGAGAAGAAGTGTATGGCCTCTGGGGCTGTACTGCCTGGGTTGGAATTGAGGGCAAGCTTTTTGGTGCCTCATAATTCTCAGTGTTACTGAACATGTTAGGTTAAGTAAGTTAAAAATGTAAAGCATTTGGAATAATTCCTGGCATATAAATAAACAGATGTTTGTTACTATTATTATTAAGTATATCCAGATGTATATTACAATATTATCTAGGAAGAGTCCTTCAATGATGTGATAACTTCCCCAACAAAGTCCAAACTATAAGTCTGGCATGCTGGACTCATTTTGATGTGAGTTTCTCATCTCCCATAAACCCCGTAAGCACCATGTGTTTTAGCAATTTGATATTACTTCAGCTGTTTCTCCAGAGTGCTTTGCTACTTGTCTTTTGCCTGAAATGCCATCCTGGTCTCCTCTGCACAGACTTCCTGCCCTTTTCCTCTCACTGCATATGTTAATTACGGTCCTTTGCAGTTAACAGTGCAATTGCCTGTTGTTCCTTTTTTTTTTTTTTTTTTTTTTTAAAGCAGTGGGCTCATTGAGAGCAGAAACGAGATCATGTGTTCCCAGTGAAGTGCCTGAATCATAACACACATTTAAAACGTTGAGGGGGATAGCATTTTTTTTTAAGTGAAGAGAATTATAAAAACAAAACATTGAGATCTGGAAAAATTAGTCCTTTGCCACACAGATCCTTGAACCAGCAACTTCAGCGTGACTTAGAAGCTTATTAGAAATTCAGAACCCCAGACTTTCAGAAGCAGTATCTGCAGTTTTACCATCCTCATGGTTCATACCATGACAATATTTAAGAAATGGTGCTCTAGTTCATTTCTTTTTCACCCAACATCAGATTTTCTTTTTGTTCAAAACTATATTATTTGATACTTGTAAAGATTTAAAAATAAGCAAATAATGCTTAACGGCAAGAAAATCAAAATATATAAAAGGGCAAATTTAATAAAGTTATGTATTTTTAATTGTACGTCTCCTAAGATAACCATTAGCAGAAACTCTAGGTCATCTCTTGCTCTGGCTAGGGCAGGGACAAGGTTTTGGGGTTTTTTTGTTTGTTTTGTTTTGATTTGGTACTGGGGGTTGAGCCCAGAGGTGCTCTAGCACTGAGCTATAGCTACAACCCATTTTATTCAATATTTTGAGACAGGGTCTCACTAAATTGCCCAGGCTGGCCTTGAACTGCATTGCTCTGATTAGAGGTGTGGCCACTGTGTATTGAAAGATCGTTTTGAATTAGAGTCCTCTTTGTGTATTGAATAGTATTCGATACCATTCTGACAGTATTTGTAACAAGAACATTTCTTAGGTGAATATTTTTATTTTGCCTATAGACCACATTTCATCAAGTCTTGGGGTGGAAAGCTGAAGGAATAACTTCTTAGATGGTTTTGGCCCTAGCTAATTTATTTGGCTCACTTTTCTGCCTCCCTTTAGATACTGATGGAGTGCCCATAGGGGTAAATACAAGTTAGTCAAGTGTGGAAGGCCAAAAGTAAATGACATTGATAAACGAGATGCAAAGATTGGAAAGTATTGAGGCTTCGTTAAGTTGCTGTAAGCACCTTGCCTCAACTCAAGGACATAAAGAGGTGTCTTCTGTACTTTAACACACAATGGTGAGTGCTTATAAGAAACATCTTTTGTGTAACAAATATTTCCATCATAGGGTTAAAGTTTCTATTAAGATATTTCCAAAAATTATGGGACATTTGATTTTTTAAAAGTATAGGCTTGAAGTAAACAATTTGAAGTTAAATATTTTCATTTGACATAGAGTTCCAATTTTATTTCCAGATTCTTTGAAACTATGTATAAAACTTAGAACTTTAAACTTTCAGCTTGATTCTAAAACTAAAATATATAGATGCTTGAGATGTCTGAGTTGGAAAAAGTGTGACCACTTGTATGTTGTTGGAATGGAAGCAGATTCATGCTGAATTCAGCAGATACTTACTGAAGAGTGTATGTATTTCAAGGGTCTTGATAGATACTTTACATAACTGTTGGTGGTGCTAGGTGGCTAAGAAAGAGAAGATTGACAGAACACAACCCCTTCTTCCAGGAAGTTTAGCTTTTGGAGGGGGACAGCCAATAAATTACATCTCTGTGTAATGTTTGAAATGCTGTAGAAGAAGGATCTTTGGGATCTTTCCAGAAGAAAGAAGGGTACTAGTTGCTGGGTTTCAGTTAGAAGATGCTTTTTTGTTTTAGCAAATTAACTCCCTAAGTCTCAAGATCCTCCTCTGTGGATAGATAGATGAGGAATATATCTACCTGGAAGGCTTGTTTTGAGCATAAAATAAAAAATGAATGTTCACCCAGGCATGGTGGTGCATGCTGTAATCCCAGCAGTTTGAGAGGCTGAGGTAGGAGGATCAAAAGTTCAAAGCCGTCCTCAGCAATTTATTGAGGCCCTAAGCAACTTAGGGAGACCCTGTCTCAAAAGAGCTGAGGATGTGACTCAGTGGTAAAGTGCCTCTGGGTTTAATACTGGACACCTCCCACCACCACCACCAAATGCATGTTCAGTACTTAATTCATGTGTACAACAGACAGTTCATTATGAAATACAGACTGCATAATAAATTTTGGCTGCCAGTGATAATCAGGCAGTTTCTGTGTAACTCAAGGGAGTCTGTCTTCTGTCTTAGCAGTTTCTGCCCCCCATTCTGTCCTCTTTTCTTTTTATATTCATAGCCTCAGTGCAGGGATTTGAGGGGAACATCTCAAAAATCTCGGAGGTCAGTTTTAGTTTTCTTTGGAAGTTCTTTTTCTCCTATTGTCCCCCTTAACTATAGTCTCCTGTCACTTTTTAAGTTTTCCAGAACATTAATGGTATAGTCTTCTTACAGTGAGGTGTCTCTTGTCATTCAATATTTTTATTGTCCAGTATGGTACCCCTGGGTCAAGTATAGCTATTTACATCCAAATAAGTTAAAAATTTAATTCCTCATTCACACTGGCAACCTTGAAATGCTCCATCACCACTTTTAGCTGGTGACTGGAATGTTGGACAGCACAGATACAGATTTCCAGAATGTTACATGTTGTGGTGCTATTGGAATGGTGACTGCTGACAGCATCAAACCAGGGAAGTGGACTATTTGCTCCCTCCTGGGTACATGGACATTGGAGATGGAGTTCTTCTCAGTGGAATGGGCTGGCTGAGAAATAAAAGCTAGGAAAAATAGAACGGCGAAAGAACCTCAGGATACAGAAAATGATTTCAAAAAGCATGGGCAGGATGGGCAAGGATCGAGCTTCTATACTCTGGCAAAATGGAGACCATGCCTACTTTATTTATATAGGAAGATATCAAGTTCTCCCACAGAATGTTCTTCTCAATAAAAGGTCAGAGTGAGGCTGTCCATTTTTCAACAGGTTATGCCCACCTTTGGAGCAACCTTGAGAGATCTTCCTAGCCCAGCGAAGATAAAGGCCATGTGCCTTGGGTAATCTATTGTGTGGTAGAGCCACAGATAGTTCCCAAAGTTAAACCTAAAATCTCCCTGGCTACATGCCGAGAGAAGATCCTCAGGTGTTTTTCACGGATGACTCCCTGCAATTTGCCTTGGCAATTTTACGACTGAAAATTTTCCCCCACCATATTATTTCTTCAAAAGCTTAACACCTCTGGCTATTTCCCATTGAGCCATAATGCTTAACAATTTTGATTTATTTTTATAAATTAAACTCTGGGTAGGTAATTTATTTGCATTTTAAGACTTACTAAAATATTAGAGTTTTTGTCCAAAAACAATTCAGTGAAGTTTTCAAATAGTATTTTAGACACATATTTAATATATTATTTTGGATAAAGGTAATGGTGTTTGATTACGAGAAACATACATTCAGCCGACTGCTTTCATACCTCTTTCTTCTTCAGTCTGTTACCATATTTGCGGCTTTATGTTTTGAGCAACTCAGAGGCTTGTATTTTCCAAATGCAGTCAGTATTCAGATGCTGGTCTCTTCAGCTTCCATTTACATCTACGGTACCACTGACTGCAGACACAAAAACATACTGACACATGGTTTTGACTAAGTCAGCCTGTGATGTCCTGAAGTCAGATAGTGGTGATGGCTGTACTACTTTGAATATACTTAAAACTACTGAATTATATACTTGAAAGGGGTGGATTTTATGATATATGAATTAATACCTCAATAATAAAAAAACAATAATGTGTGTAAAGCACTTGGTAGATAGGATATAATAAGCTGTCTTTATTATAAAGATCAGCAGCTGCTTTTATCAGAAATCATTTGTGATTCAACCATTACTAGATGATTTTAATGAGGTTTGCCCGAAGTGGAATGTTTATAATGTAAAAAAGGTGTTTACTAGCAACAGGCTTTGAATTCAGGTTTTTGTTGTTGTTTTGTTTGTTTGTTTGTTTGTTGCAGGAGAACATTCCATGTTATAGTCAATATTATAATATTATTTCCATGATTTTCTTAACATAAAAATAATTGCCACTAAAATGGTAAATGTCATGTCATTGTTTTTTTAAACAATAAATCTCACATCTCGTGAAGTCATTCATCCTTGGAAAATCTTTACTTGCTGTTTTATAGTCCTATCCCTTTTATTCAGGAAAAGATAATTACAGAGATTAAAAAAAAATTTGTAATGATAGCAGATTATATGTATCTTCAGTTTGGGGCTTTTAAAATAAACATGGTTTCAACTGAAATCTAATGTTTCTGTGTACCAGATACTGAATAGGGCACACAGGAAATAAACTTCATGCCGTAAATTAATCAATCTAAAGATGTTGTTGTCATAAAAGACCAAACATTCAGCTGTAACAAGAGTGTCACTAAGTTGTTTAAATAGAAAATGCTCTGATCCCCTTTCAGAACGACCGTAAAGAGGTACTGTAGAGCCTCAGAATGCTGGTGGCAGGAAGAAATCAGTGGTTTCAAAGGCTTCCAGGAGAGCTAGTTGAGGACAAAGACAGTTTGCCAAGTGCAGTCCCAGTGCCCATTCTGATGTGTGATGGTTATTTGTTTAGTTTACAGTATTTATTGGGATACAGCTTGCTGATAATTAAATACATAAGTTGCCGCAACTGTTTATCAAGCCATTTCTATGCGCTATATTTTGTTAGGGTGGGTGGGAATGGAGATACTAGGAAATTCCGTAACTGTCATGGTCTTCAAGGACTAGAAAGTTGTCGAGTGACGGGGGCGCTGAAGAATGGTGTACATGAGGCTGAGTACAGTCGAGTGCTCCAGTGAGATACAGTGGCGATTGAGTCAGGGTGGGAAGCTGGGAAGTAGATTCCAGTGGGACCCTGAAGGGCTCCACTGAAGGCAGAGAATGGGTGAAGGGCATCCTAGACAGGGTGCCAGCCAACCAGGACACTAACAGGGTGCAGCTTCAGTGTTCCTCAGAGGCAGCCTTCAGAGGTGACAAGTTAGGAGCTCCCTCTGGCTGGAGCTGACAGTCACTTTGGGAGTAAGTGATGGATATGCTTCATGGGTTGAGACTGGTCAGACAGAGTCTTAAGTGCCAGAGGCTTTTCTGACACCTGAGACTGGGCCTAGGCAGAATTACAAGTAGGTTGTTCCGTTTTGCCACTATTTTTCTTGTCTCTCCATTGTCTTAGTCCTCTTGGATGTTGACAGCCATTATTCCTTGAATTATCGTGAATTAGTGGATAATCTTTTAAAAGATTCTCGTAGATCCTCACTTAAATAAGTGACTTTTTCTTTTAAATCAAGAGCTTTCCTTTCATATTTTCATTACTGATGAAATGGCAGGTAGCTCTCACTTTTGGCCAGGGCAGACTGCCCTGTGGAATCCCCCATGGAGGAACCCACCCATACCGTAGCTCACATCTTCTAGATCAGTGTTTCTCAAGGTGTGGAGCATGGATAACCGTATTAGAATACCCAGAAGATTTTTGAAATTAAAAATGCTTAAAATACGGGCTAACCCCTTTCAAAAGACTAGAGATCTAAAACTTTGGGAGCGGGTGGAGGAACCCTGCATCTTTAACAAGCAGTCCAGGTAATTTATATGTAAGCTGAAGTTTGAGAACACTTATTCAGGAACCAGTGTATAGAATTGTCATTCCAGCCAGGAGATTTCTGAAGACTTACTTCCTAAGTATTAAGTTGCTTCTTCTCATCATATGTGGCCTCTTGTTTTCAAATGGAAGCCAAAAGAACATTAAATAGTTTAGTGGTGCTTGGGGTCAGCTTTGTACTGTTTCTTACAGTGCAAGCAATTATTGTATAGCACAGCAAATGATTCCACCTTTGAATGGTTGAATACTGTGTGAACATAGCAGCACAGCCTGCAGTGTTTGTGTTCAATCTGTCAAATCTCATATCAAATTCCTTTTAAGAATCTCAGCACTCTACCAGTTCCTGGAGTTGAATGTTTTCTACTTTACCTGTTGAACTGCTTGCTTCCTTAAGATTTCCCTGCCTTAATTAGGTTCTTTTCCTAGAGGGTTAAAATGAGCATTGAATCTGTATCTTTAAATTCTTATAATTTAACTAGCCTTTAAAAGAAAAAAGTTGAACAACAATTCCAGTTCCAAAACACCATCTCATTTGGGTGACAGTGGCACACTTTGTAAATCCTAGTGACTCAAGATGC